GTTGCTTTTGTGGGATCTTACAATTTTTGATATGTTGTGTTTTCATTATAATTAAATTCAAATCTTTTCTAATCTCCTGTATGATTTATTTTTTGACCCATTTTGTTTTGTTTTAGCATTGTATTATTTAATTTCCACAGAATTAATTTTTTAATTGCCTTTTTAAAAATTGACTTCTAACTTAATTCCGTTGTGGTTTGAGAAAATACTCTGAGTGATTTCTGCCTTTTGGAGTATATTGAGACTTACTTTATGACTCATTATCTGAGTCTATTTTAGTGACTACTCCATGTGAAGCAGAAGTCAAGAAATCAAACTATGTATTGCATTTGACAAATCTATGACAAAAGATCTCATTGAAGTGTTAAAAAGCAGAGATGTCAGTTTGAGGACTAAAATGCCTCTGACCCAATCCACAGTATTTTCAATCACCTCATATACATGCAAAAGCTACACAATGAAGAAGGAAGAATGAAGAAGAATTGACATATTTGAATTATGGTGTTAAGTGAAGAATACTGAATATTCTATGGACTGCTAGAAAAATGAACCAGTCTCTCTTGGAAAAAGTACAGCCAGACTGTTCCTTAGAAGTAAGGATGGTGAGACTTCATCTCATGTACTTTGGACATGTTATCGGGTTGGTCCAGTCCCTGGAGAAGAACATCATGCTTGATAAAGTAGAGGGCCAGCAAAAAAGAAGACCCTCAATGAGATGGATTGACACAGTGGCTGCAATGATGGGCTCAAACTTAGCAATGATTGTGAGGATGGTGCGAGACTGGGCAGAGTTTTGTTCAGTTGTACATAGGGTCGCTGTGAGTCAGAACCAGCTGGATGGCATCTGATGACAACAGCACTCCATGTGAACTTGCAAAGAATGTGCATTTTTGCAGTTGTTGGTGTATTGTTTTGTTGCGTAGGACTCACTGAGATTCTTTAATCTGTGGGTTGATGTCTTTCCTCAGTTTGGGGGACATTTCATCCAATATCTCTTCAAGTATTTCTTCTACCCCATGATCTCTCTTCTATCCATTTGGAGCTTCTAGTTCATGTACTTTAAATGGCTTTCATTGCCTCAAATATCTAGGATGCTCTGTTCAGTTTTATTTTTTATTCCAGCCCCCTTCCTTGTGCTGGATATTTTCTCTTGATCTTTGAGTTCACGGATTTATTTTTTCTTCTGCTACTAAGCATCCAATAAATTCTTCACTTCAGATATTATGGTTTTTTACTTGTAGAATTTCCATTTTGCTCCTTCTCAGAGCTTTAATATCTCTGCTGAAATCCATCATCTGTTTGCCAATTTTGTCCTCTAATTTCTATTACATTTGCTTAATTGGCCTTGTCTGCTAATTCCAACATTTATGTCATTTGTAGACCTACCTCTATTGACTTTCCCCTGCCATTTATTTATTTTGGAGGGCTTGCTTTACACATTTTTATTGTGTCCTGGTTATTTATAATAAAAAAGAAGTAGAAACTAAACTATGAAATATTTTTATTTTGCTTTCCCTAGAAAGGATGTGCTTTTTCTTTATTAGGTGAAAGGCTAATCCTTTTGATCCTACTCAGAATTTTGAGTGACAGTCTTCCAGCTCCATAAAAACTAAAAGCAAGACCCAAGCAAAAATACTACTGAGGACCATCAGGGACACAGATTCTGGAACTGTGGGGTCCCTCATAGTCAGAACACCAGCATCCGGATCCCCTTTCTTGCTTCAGGTTCATTGGTTGGAACCCAGATCCATCACTCTCTGTGCAGAAATACTTAGGAATGGAGTGTAAGCCAGGGCTCTTTGCTATTGTTTTTGTTAGCTGCCATTGAATCAATTCCTCTTCATGGTAACCTCATGTATGCAGAATAGAACTGTGCTCCACAGAGTTTTCAATGGCTAATTTTTTGGAAGTAGATTGCCAGCTTTTTCTTCTGAAGTGCCTCTTGGTAGATTCGAAGTGCCAACTTTCTCTAGTAGTCAATCACTTAGCTGTTTGTACCCTCTGGGACCCATTGCTGTTATTGGGCATGACATTCTTGTGATAAAAAATTACTTTTGTTTAAAACTGAAACTAAAAGCTCTCCTCTTGTTTAAGTGATTGAGATCATTAATCTTGTCTTCTACAAATCTATAAATAAAAAAGCTGAGTGTAGGAGGAGGGAGAGAGCTGTCTGGATAGTAATTCTTGGACTAGATGGACTGCTAATGAATACTTTTGAGACAGGTCCCAGATATAAGGGAGGGTCCTTGGAACAGCCCCATGCCTCCTTCTAAGGTCATCTCTTTGACCTGAAGCCAGCTTTGCCAAAGACCTTGACCAAAGCCACTCGAACTTCTCGGTTCCTCAAGCTATAGATGAGAGGATTGAGTGTGGGGGTGACAAGACTGTAGAAAAGGGAGACCATATTGTCCTGCTGTGGGCTGTGGTAGGTGCCTGGCACCATGTACATGAACACGGCTGCCCCGTAAAAGAGCCCCACCACAGTAATGTGCGAAGAGAAGGTGGTGAAGGCTTTGTGCCTGGCCTCTGCTGAGTGCATGCGGAGAACGGCCCCCAACACATGGCCATAGGAGGTGGTGATGAGCGACATGGGCAGCAGCAAGATCAGCACCCCTGAGATGGACAGCGTCAACTCATAAGCCGAAGTGTCTTCACAGGAGAGTTTTAGCAGGGCAGGTAGCTCACAGAAGAAGTGGTCCACAGTGTGTGAGGCGCAGAAGGGGAAGTGCAGGGTGATTGAGGTCTGTATGGTGGCTATAAGCACTCCTGACAACCAGGAGATGCCCACCATGAGCAAGCACACCTGGCGTCTCATGAGCATAGGGTAACGCAAGGGGTGGCACACGGCAATGTAACGGTCATAGGACATGAAAGAGAGTAAGACACCCTCAGAGACTCCCATCAGCATTAAGAAGAACATCTGAGCTGCACAGCCCCCAAAGGAGATGGATCCCTCTCCCTGAAGGAAGTTGATCGCCATCTTGGGGATGGTGACTAGGGGAAAACCAACATCCAACAGGGAGAGTTGGCTAAGCAGGAAGTACATGGGCGTTTGGAGCCTGGAATCTGTGTGGATCAAGAAGATCAGGATGGTGTTACCCAGAAGGCCAATGGTGAACGTGGCAGCCACAAAAGAGAAGAGGAGCAGGTGTGGCCCCAAGTGGCTGAAGAGCCCCACAAGAATAAAGTCTGAGATTATCGACTGATTTGCTTTCCTCATTCTCCGAGAGGCATCATTTATCTGCAGAAAGAACAGGACCTTTGGTGAAGATTCTCAGTGGAGATGATAGGTGAGTTTCATTTCACATACTGTTATGATT